AATAGTGTGAGCTGAACAAGCCAAAAACATTGCTCTGGGATTAATTTTTAGAATTTGAGCTTGAAGGCCCACATGCTTGCCAGACATATTTGGCCCATTGTCGTAACCCTGACCTCTCATGTCATCAAGGTTTATTTCAAATTTTGATAATATTTCTTCTTTTAAAAAATTGAAGAGCCCTTCTCCTGTAGTATTTAAAACTTTGAAAAAACCCAGAAAATGTTCTCTAATTTCGACTTCATATGGAGAACAATAAACGAAGCGAATTATGACCGTCAGCTGCTCAACTTGGCTAGCATCTGGAGATTCATCCAAAATAATTGAGTAATATTTTGCTGTTCTGAGGCAACTCAGAATTTCTTTCTGAATATTTCTTGACAATAAATGAACTAATTCATTTTGGAAGTGATTGCTCAGGTAATGAGGCATATTTTGGCACAACTCTTTAGACCTTCGAATATTACTCAGGTGTTCCATCATAATTGGATCGAATTTAGCAATCATTTCAACTAACTTCAAAAAATTGCCATTATTAGTCTCATAAAGATTCGTACTGTCACCCCTAAAAGCTAAATTTTAGCCAGCTAAATACTGCACAATACAAATCATTCTTTTAATGATTTCACGCCATCGCTGTTTTTCAATTTCATAATATTTTTTTGTTCTTTATCAATAGTACATTCTTTACTCAAACGCAATTTTAACTCGTGCCATTTTTGAGCGCTTTTCATATGTTGCATGCTATTTTCATGACGAGAAATATTAATAGAAAGGTGCCTCCAGTTAAAATAGCCGGTAGTTAATTTATGAGACAATGTGCTAAAAAGTTTACAGAAAATGCAGAATACGGCATTAATTTTTTAGAATACACCAACCAGTCCCTCTTTACTTTTTCGCCGTTTGGCAACTTTCTTAAATATTGCGTGGATGAGAATTTTCTACCAGTTTCATCAACAGGAAAGTTTTCCATGATTTGAACAGTGCCTTTTGTCACGATTGATTGAATTAAATGATGATTTAATTGATTCGGCCATGTAGAGGGATCAGTAATATCAATATCGGCAAGGTCTGCAGCACTTTCTCTATCTTCATTTACCGGGTTACTTAGCTGAGACTGTGAAGGGAGCAGCATAAGCGTTTCAGAGGTGGATTGTTGTTGATCGTCAATAACCATTGGCTTTGCAACCAGTTGCTCTTCAGAAATTTGTTTTAGAAATTTGTTCAGCGATCCACTAAGTTTTTCCCGCTGCGCCTCCATTTGCAGTCGGCGTTTTCTATTTTCGGCCCCTGATAATTTTTTCCTACCAAACTCGCTCATTTCAGCCGATTCTGAAGAGAAAAAATACGGTATTACATACCGAGGTGGAAAATATTTCATTTTCTTCAAGAAATTAGTTAATTAAGAGTATTTTAAGACGAAGTTAACTTGAGTCTCGAGACAAAAATGAAATTTCCAGCGAGGTACAAACCTTTACTACTATTTTATTTACAGTCATATTTTTTTAAAATAAAAATTAGAAAACGTTATTTTCATATAAACTTTTTACCGGGGTCGAAAGTAAACAACCAATTTTCACCCGGGCAGAAATCAATTTTTTATCTGAAAATCAGAACAGTCACAAAAGGTGAACTTTCCAACTTTCAAAAATGTCAGAAGTGATGTTTTACGTATATGGTTGTAAATAATAGTATATTATATACATTCACAATGTATAATATTATACACTGAGTTGAAGTGTTTAATTCTTATCAAGAGAAAAACATGGTTTACCGAGGCGCATAGCGTCGAGACAGGAATGAAACTTTTTCACCGAGGTTTGTATAGGTTGTTGCTCAACCAGTTGCTCTTCAGAAATTTGTTTTAGAAATTTGTTCAGCGATCCACTAAGTTTTTCCCGCTGCGCCTCCATTTGCAGTCGGCGTTTTCTATTTTCGGCCCCTGATAATTTTTTCCTACCAAACTCGCTCATTTCAGCCGATTCTGAAGAGAAAAAATACGGTATTACATACCGAGGTGGAAAATATTTCATTTTCTTCAAGAAATTAGTTAATTAAGAGTATTTTAAGACGAAGTTAACTTGAGTCTCGAGACAAAAATGAAATTTCCAGCGAGGTACAAACCTTTACTACTATTTTATTTACAGTCATATTTTTTTAAAATAAAAATTAGAAAACGTTATTTTCATATAAACTTTTTACCGGGGTCGAAAGTAAACAACCAATTTTCACCCGGGCAGAAATCAATTTTTATCTGAAAATCAGAACAGTCACAAAAGGTGAACTTTCCAACTTTCAAAAATGTCAGAAGTGATGTTTTACGTATATGGTTGTAAATAATAGTATATTATATACATTCACAATGTATAATATTATACACTGAGTTGAAGTGTTTAATTCTTATCAAGAGAAAAACATGGTTTACCGAGGCGCATAGCGTCGAGACAGGAATGAAACTTTTTCACCGAGGTTTGTATAGGTTGTACTGTTTTATTCAGAACCATATCTTCGAAATGCAAGTTTAAAAAAAATCTAATAAAATGTAAACAAACATTTTGGTTATTCGTAGGATGTTAAAATTGACCTGGGTGGAAAATTAATGTCATACACTTTTCATCGGGTAAATGTCACTTTCCTCCTGGATAGATTTTAAAACTAGAAATTTGGTTTTTGAAACTTTTATAAAAGGTCTTCAATGTCAACATAACATACATGGTTGTAAATAAACATTGATACTTAACTGACCCGAAGAATAACTTTAAGGTTCTTAAACTGTTATTTAATTTAAATTTTAGTACTTTACTTATTTATGTTTATTTTATTTAAATAAATAAGTTAACTTATTTTACTTACTTTTAGCAGTTTATTTGCCGCCTTAAACTTACAATTTACAATAAACTTGATGTATTTACAATAAACTTTAATGACAATGATATTGCGAACAGAACATCCTAACCCATAAGAAAAAAATCTAACGACTGAATTAAAACGTTACGGTTTGCTGCGCAAACGACAATTTCGTCAGAGGCGGGCGCATCGCACATCCTTTCTTAAGACAACCAGGCGGGCGGCATGCCGGCAACACAAAACATTAAAAGTGAGCGGCGTGCGGCATTAGACGGCTGTCTATGCGGATATGCTGACACTAATAAAATTGTAGGGTGGTAATTTAATTAGCTAACAACAATCAAAATCATCTGGTTAGGATAAACAATATCGCTGTTGTAGATAAATTTGTGTATCTGGGCTCATTAATAACCAACAAAGGAGGCAGTACTGAAGAAATAAAGCGGCGGTCAGCAATCGCAAAAAGCGCTATGGCAAAATTAACAAAAATTTGGAAAAGCCATGAAATTACTACCGATACAAAAATGAGACTAGTAAGAAGTCTAGTTTTTCCAGTTTTTACTTATGCATCGGAATGCTGGACCCTTACTGAGAAAGACAAAAAGAACATAGATGTATTTGAGATGTACTGCTGGAGACGAATGCTGAGAATACCATGGGTGGCCCGAAGGACAAATGAATTTATACTGGTCCAGCTAAACATAAAGAAAAGACTAAGAACACAAATAACAGAACAGATAATAAGCTTTTTGGACATGTGCTTCGAAGAAATGGTCTTGAAAAACTTACCATCCAGGGAAAAGTAGAAGGCAAAAGAAGTAGAGGTAGATCTATACACGATACACGGACCATATTGTTGCTACCATTGGCGCTCCATTGTCAGAATGTGCTAGATTGGCAGAAGATAGAAAAACGTGGAGGAACATTGGAAAAATTACCTAACAGCTTCATGATATCACGATACCTACATCAGGTTAACGACTAAGAAGAAGAAGAAGAGAATTTAATTAGTAATTTTGGTATTATAATAGGGAATAGCAAACGGATGAAGTGATTGCTTTAGCGCTTACCGGGGAAATACTGAACACTGACTTTTTTTGTTTTAGAAGAGAGAATATTTTTGTAATGGTAACCAAATATTTTGGCGCCCCTAAAATTTAGCACCTGCGTGCGGGGCATTCATTGCATACCCGCCAGGAACGGCCCTGGTAGTACCGATACTTGATAAGTACAATAGTTTCGAAATGTGAGTGACAACCAGCTGAAAAAATGATTGATAGCAACTCTCGTTGCAAAAAGTCCTCGTAGACATGTTGTCTCAGGACTAGCAACCTCCAGTAGAGTCTTATGTTCCCATGTTATCAATTCCAATTGTAACTTTAACATCATAACATATAAGATCCAATAGTGTATTTTAAATTCAAATTAATAACATTTAATGGGTTTTTAGCCAAATATTAGTGGCTCAAAACATGTACACTGAAGACAGACTGATGATGGAATATAGATTCCGAAAATGTTTTGTGATGTATCCCGATTGGGTGTTATTATATACCTTTTGTAAAGGATTTTTAAATAATTTTTATTTTGATACATGTTAGACAGCTAGCTATAGGAACTTAATTTCTTTATGGGTTTTTGAAAATTGTTTGGAGGAACCCGACCTTAAAACAATTACAAATTTTTTCCAAAAATACTGGATATTGAAATATAAAACTCACTAATAATGATATTATTAAAATAAATCACAGCAGGGGTATTACATTGTTTAATTTTGAGTCCAGATTAGTACAATGGCTGTTAAGCTCTCAATGATTTACTCTCAATTCTCTTGCGACTTTATCTACTATAATTCTGAAATTTTGGTAAAGTAATTATTTGTTTACATATTAACCAATCTAAAAATTATTTCTTTTTTCAGTTACTACACTGGCACTGTTATGTTCCTCATATATCATAAGCTCAAGAAATAGTAAAATACATTACTATACTCCCAAACTCCAATAACAGTATAAAGGGAGATTATTATTATTATTGTATATTATAATTAATCATGTTAAGCTTTGTATTCCACATCAAAGAAACTAGATTGTAGTTGCTGTTTAAGCTTAATGATTCACAATACAAATTATACAATAAATAATTGTACCACTTACCAAAAGAAAATGACTTATTCCCAGAATCTGCGCTGGCCTTGCTTCCAAAACTAAAAGTTGGTGTAGCTGAACTTGTGCTAGAAGTTCCAAAAGTGAATTTTGGAATATTTTTTTCTGAAGTATTACTGGATTCATTTTTGGAAATAGATTGGAATTTTTCAGTGGTACTATCTGGAACATTAGTTGTAGGTTTAAAAGCAAAGGAGCTCATAGAAGAAGAGTCAGTTTTATTGTTCGTATCAGGGGGTTTTAGGTCTTTCTCCTTTTCTAATTCTGCGAAGTATTTCTCATAATCTCGAAATATTGGCTGTAAATTTATTAGTGGATTTGCATCTACATGACTTTTTATCCATTTTGATACACTCTCATTCAGACCTTTCAACTTTGAGTAATATTCATTTGATTTCTCGGGAGATGAGTTAGTAGGATTGTTATTTTTATTACTATTATTAGCTGTGCTTGCACCAAAAACATTTGTTGTCACTTTTTCATTTAATTTTCCACTCCCTGTTATAGGACTACTACTATACTTAAATGTTGAAGCATCATTCTGAGGTTTTTCTGAATTTCCACCCGTACCATTTACTTTTGGAGGGGTATTAGGTTTAGTTAGATTCGATAGGAACGAAAAAGCTGTGGATGTTGTTGGCGCTGCTTTTCCAAAACCCGTAAAACTGGTGAAGGCACTTTTCTTTTCACCATCACCACCATCCTGAAAAAGATTAATGTAAATATTTTCATTCAAAAATGAGTAATGTTGCGTACATTCTTATGTCTAAATAAGTAAAATTGCTAAAATATGATTTCTATTGAGTGTTTTATTTTACTTTTGTCTCCAAAATGGCAAAATATGGTTGACTGTTGCAAGTTCTCTGCCGCAGAGTCAGCGGCTTAAGTCGCAATGAAATATCCTCATTGTATGCACATATTCATTGTCTGACACATATCCAGTAAGCTAATGATTATATTATGATTATGAGCTAATTCATGATAGTTTTTCATAGTACTTCATCCCTATTAGCACATGTCTGCTCCATATAGATTTCTGCATGTGCTTGACCAAGTATACTTTACTATACTTTTCTAATGGATGGAACATACTTTAGTCCAGCATCGGACCAAAGTATTTTGTGCTGATTCTCGTCTAGCAAGCTCATCAGCTCTGCTGTTGCCACTTTTTATCCAATGACTTGAGAGTCATACAGAGTTTATAATGTTGATGGTTGACACACCCAAAAAAATAATGAATAATTAGTTGGTGTTCATTTGGATTACAAAAACCGAGTATCAACAATAATAAATGAAGTACCTCATATTCATATTAATAAAAAATAACTACAGAAGTTAATTATTAACTTGAATAAAACTGAGAAATATCATAAATGTAAATATAGGAAAAAGCCATGTACTTAATCATGCAAAAAATATTTGACCAAAAAAATTGAAAAGTAAGTAGCTTTCTCAAATTGAAATGATACAAAAATTTGGAAAAAATACATGATTGGATAAAAGAAAAATGCAAATCATTTAAAAAGAAAATTCTTACAAAAATATAGCTAAACCATCAAGCATACCGACAAAATGCAAAATGAAATTCTATCTATATCTATAAAACGAGGAATAAAGTGGTTGAAAATATTAGATAAATTCATCTATTTTATAATTATATTAACCATGTGGTTCCTATACAGAATATAAATGACACCCATAGGTATATCAAAATATTTTGATTATTTTTATTTCAATCATTCTTAGTAGGAATGCTGTTTATCAAATATATGTCAACTATGAAATTTGTACTGATGTACATAAAACACAAATTAAACTTTCGTCACTCGTTGCTTACATAACGTTGTAGAACCGAAAATATTATCTTAAATCTGAAATAGTTCTGTAAAAATGTGGACATATTTTAAAAACCAAGATACTTTCACATGTATCCAACAGGTTATATCTTACCCTAACTGATGATATAGGATTCCTCCTTCTTGCAGTTTTTATAACTCTACTTTTCAAAGAATCTTCAGAAGCTCTTTGAAAAGTACCAGCATCTTCAGGGGGTTCTTCCTTGTCCCAATTTTCGTGATTTAAATCACTTGTGGCGCTACGTTTTCCAGCCATCAGTGTAACTAATGGAAGTTTTGTGTATCTCAAAATAAGATTTACCTAAAACATTTATGTCTAAATAGAATTGTTTTTTAATAAAATATGTAAAACTAATAAAATCCGCCAAAAACGTTACTCGTTGTCAAACTGTAAACGTCAAAAAGACGTTTCATGAAAGATGTCAAAATTTTTAATGAAACAACTGTTATATGTGTTCTGTGAAGTGAATTTAGATCACAGAGCCCATTGAAAAATATTTTATATTTCTACTGATAGACCTTACCTTTTATCTCTTAAATATTCCTTAGTTACGTAAGTTCCTTAGTCGCCAATAAAAATTAAAGGTTTTCAAAAACCAGATTATACAGAAGTCATAATTAATAGGATTTTGTATTTTAAAGACACACCAAATTGGTTAATACATAATAAGAAACAGTATTATTTCTTTTTCTGTGGTCTTTATGTTACTGCATACTACTTTAGGACATACTGCATTAATTTTTCGTAGCAATATTATTGTACTTTATATTTGCGTTGATTAGTCTTAATACTTTTTGGGAATTTATTTAGAATAAATTATTTCACCAAAAGACTTTCACCTAATTAATAAAAACTAAATTTAAAAAGAAAATATCGGATTTTTGTTCATTATTTATAGACATTTTATTCCACATGTCGGAAAAAAGTTTAAAAAAGAACTGATGTAAATAAAATAGCATTCGTAGTATATATTCTGAAGATTTTCTTCCAGTTTTGTGATTTGCAATTAAGATCTATCAAGATAAGGTCAAAAATGTAACTTTAACTTTGCGTCTTACAAATATACTTAATGTGCATTAAAAATGCTTTGGTTTCAAATCATAAATATGTAGATAAATATAACAAGGTCTAATATATTCGGCTAATACACTGGATTGCAAATTATAAATAGATAAACAATAGATGAAAAGAATCGTTTATTTAGCTCTATATCCAGCTTAGAGCTTTAGAGCTAAAAGAATTAGCATTAAAACTAGATATATCTATTATATTATACTTTTCTTTTCCGATTTTTAAAATTGTTATGTTCACATGTCGTTAAAATTTGGATATTCCTGTCTTATTTTTTGTTCACATTGTAGAATATTAATTAATAAATATGATTCTTTATATTTTCGTTATATTCTGATAGAATGCTATTTAGGAAATTTTATCAATTTGTTGTGCAAAGTTGGTAGCTTTGCAAACGCCTAGAAGTCAACTTGAAACTTTAAATTTGAATCATGGTTAAATGATATTACCCGTACAATATAATTTTGTTATAGGAATAAGATTAATAATAATTTTCAACTAATCTAATAGGTAAACAGTTTTATTATTAAAAAAAATTATTGAAAATTTATAAAAAAACAAGTTCGGTTATGCGCATCGCGCATTCATTTAACGTCAATATGGCGGCTGTATGTGAAAGTGGTTATTTACAAAAATCAAGATAATTTATTTGTAATAAAATGATTATTTATTAGGTAATTAGTATATTTACGTGAATCTTTGTTTACTGGTTAATATTTGCTAACCATCGTTAATAGGTAAGCCGCTTTTAATATATTCAAATTCAATTGTTTTGTTTTGGTCTAGGTTTGAATTTGAAAATGGTGTTAAAATTCAAAATTTTTTAAATCGTATTTTTTTTGTTCGAGCATTAAGTTTAAATTGACTGACAAGTAACTTGGTATTTGCATGTGAAAAATTAATGTGATACTAAAATGTGTATTTATCTGCCCTGGTTCAATTGTGTTTTAAATAAAGTACCAATAATCTATGATATATTGATGACACAGCCTACTGCCTCTCAAGGGTAATTCCGATTTGAACAATATGTTTTATGTAATGATAATGAAAAGAAAATTATTTAATCATACATTTGACCAGTTTTAAATAAAATAAATTGAACAATTAAGACTGATATGGAATTTGCTTGTTCACTATATATTATAACCTATATCTTTTACTGTCTTACAGTTATTGTTATTTATAAAGAGTAAATTTGGATGGTTGATATTCATTTCTTTGTAAGTTAGTGTCTCGCTGGATTACTTATTTAAAACATCAGCTAAAAAATAGCCTGAGGTTTACCATAATTCCAATTTTATTTTGGAATTAAAATATTTGGAGAATAATTTTGTAGATGAAACAAAGCTTGTTACCCTTTTTTGCAAAATGACCCAGTTCTCTTATATTTAGCAATTTTTTATAAGACATAGAAATAAACAAAAACCAAATTTAAGATTTTTAAATGTTTCAACTTAATAACCCTAAAATTATTTAAATAACTAAGTAATTGAAATATTTACTTGAACCAATATTTTGATGTAGAAATGTATATTGTAACTAAATAACTAATATACTGTAGATAACTAATGTGCAGTAATATAATAAAACAGTGTTCTGAGTATGAGACCAAGAAGGGGAAATACAAATGACTAGTTACAAAAAAGAAAGCAGATAAAAAAGAAAAGTCGCAATAGAAGAGCTAAAAGCAGAATATTATGGATGAATGTAATAATGTATGAATATGTATGAATGTTATAATTATATTTAAATAATATGCAGATTAACTTTTGTCAGTCTATAGATTTCAATTTAGGCAATGCTACAAACTTCAAAAACTTAACTAACTGTTTAATTGACTTAATAACATTCCTACAAAAAGAATGATCTTGCTATAAGAATTACACAAAAATGATTACTTATATCTTATCTTGACATTAAAGCCCATGCAGCACTTTGGTGACATCTACAACTATTTTCTGCCAAACTTCTCTATCTAGCACCAACTGGAGCCATACACTTACATTCAAGCCCAGTAGGCTCCACCCCATCTTACAAGTGCTTTCTGGGCCTATCAAGAGCTCTTCTATCCTCTTGTCTTGATTACAATAACTTTTTGGACACCCTCAGTCAATCATGTCTAATGTTTAATGATTTAAACATGTTTAATGCTTTGAATGTATATATCAGGCAATGGTTGATTCTTGGAAGAAAATTTCCATTATAACCAATTATAATTATACCTTTATTGCTATTATAATAGATAGTAAAAATGATATTCACAATGCAAAAGTTTCTCAGAAACTCATTTTTCAAAACTCGTTAAGTAAGAAAAACTCATTTTTCTTGCTTAATAACATTTTGTTTTTTCACTTGTGACATTTTTTTTAGTTGTGTCAGTTTTCTTGCTTCAATTATTTTATATTATTCCAACTTTTGGGTCATTTTTTTAAGAAAAAACTGAATTAGAACTAAGAAAAAAGTCTAAATGCCTTATAAGTATCTTAACTGAACACCTCAATAAATAATGTGAAATACAAAATTTATTTCCACTTCTGCAAAGTCTAGCCAAAGAACATCTTATTAAACAACAACCTGTCTCTTGGAAGTAAATTTCCCATCCTCAAACCAAGAGATTCTAGAATATCAGAACAATCTGTAAGATGATTAAAAACCTTATATTGCAATAAACCATGGAGGAAGCTGTAAGATGTTGTTGAAATCTTGACCTCACAATCTCAATTTCCAAGAACAAATTCCCAAAAAACTTTTCTACACTGCTTCCAAATAATCGATGTGGCACTTGTAATAAGGTGTGTAAACAGTTGAGGCCTAAGATAATAGGTATTAGTAAAATAAAGAGTCCTATAGGCTTACTAAAAATTTCCTTGAGGTCCTTCTTAGTTGTCACAAATCCTAAGCTACTCAGAGCCTGATCTGTAATCTCTTATGTGTGCAAATCACGAATTTCACTTACTTTACTTACAATATTTGAATGTATCTGATAATCAAATTCAATAGTATTGCATTAGAAGCAGACCATCTATATAATGAGTTTAAGTCTTCCTGAAGTTTAAAACAATCATTTAGACTGGTTACCTCCATGTAAAGTTTAAGATCATCGGCAAAAAGCTGAAAAGCAAAAATGAAGGACACCAGAGAAAACAGATATAGCAGATGAAACAAAAGATTTTATCTTCACATATTGAACCTGTTTACTTAGATAACTACCAAGGCATTCAGTATTTTATGAAGTAAAAGATTATGATTTACTGTATCGCATTTGAAAATTCAGTATATATGGCATCCACCTGAACCTTCTTCCCAAAAGATGAAATGAAATAATGTCTTGTTGATATATGATCAAAATATGATCAATGTGGATTTTCCTGAACCCACGAATCCATGTTTACAATACCAATTCAATGGTTTGCACAGAAGGAACTCAAACAACTTAGAGATAGAAGACAGCATAACCACAGATCGGTAGTTCTTCACATCATCTCTGCATTGTTTCTTAAAAATAGGAGTAATAAAGCTATCCTTCCAACTTGATGGAAAAAACTTACAATTTCAATGAAAGGTTGAATAAAAAACATAATGGTACACACATAATGTGAAAGCATCTTTTTAGAAAATAACTGAGAACATTATCTGGACCACAGTTTAATTTATCTTTCAGTAACAAAATTCCATCATTAATTTCCAAAAGAGACAATTAAATGAAGGCAATATCCACAATATTAACCTGTTGATATGCATGTTGTTCAATATTTAAATATATATTATTGTAAACCACAGAAAAGTTCCTTACAAAGCAATATCAATATTGTTCTCATTTCATTTTCGTAATTAATTAACATTATTCCAGAAGCTCTTAGGATTCAATATAATCACAGAGTCAATATGAGAAATATAAGAATCATGACATACCATTGTCAAATTTTTACATATAGATCATAATTCAGAAAATTCAAGATAATCATCAACACACAATGTATGTTTAAATTTAGCATGAGCAACTTTCTTAGCTACAATAAATTTTCTCAGATCTGGGGAAAACCATCTAAGGAATTTAGGATACTTATAATTTTGTATGGACCGATGATATAAAACATGTAGGAGGAAACTGGCCACAAGCAGCCCAGTGTGGAGAACACTGGAAAGAATTGAGGGAGGCCTATGTTAAGTAGTGGATGCTATTGGGTGATTGATGATCATTTTGTATGGGTACAAATATGTGAATAACATGTAAAATCTGTTTATATTAAGATTACACAAAATTTAATGCCATCAGTTTGGTGCATACGTTGTTGATAGCGTAATAATGGGCATTTTTAAAATCATAATATGAACAACTGTAAGCTAAGGGACAAAAATCAGCAAATATAAACTTTAAAGATGGCTGTGTGGTGAATATTATTATGAAGTAGCATATCAAATTGCAGTATCGATTCTAACATTAGAGTCATTATTTGTAAAGACTTTTTTTTGATTTTTTGAAGTCCAAAAATTTATCATGTTGTTTAGGCACAGTGTCTATTTGCTTCAGATTAAGGAAGGTAAAGTATTCAGCAATAGTTACTGCTGGATATGAAAAAGAACAAGATACACTAAGGCTATTTTTGCTGGTATGCTTCCAAGTAGTGAGCGGTAGATTAAAATCTACAAAGAGATACAATGGTGGATTTTGTTTCTCAACCAACAGCTCTTCAGGAATTTGGACGAACATAAACTGCACCAAATATCACTGAAACATTATTAAAGGAAACCAGCACAAATACATGTTCCAAATTACTAATATTTGTTTTTAGTTGTTTTGTTGTCATGCATTCTTGATGAGAATGAGAACTACACCAGCACAACTGTTGTTGAAACATACAAAAGGCTTTATTGTAGAAAAATACAGCCTTCTTAATTTATTGCAAACTTAGCCTAAGCAAATTTTCTCAGATTACTTCTAATTTCAACATTAATCAATTTTGAAATTAGATCATCATTTTAAAATAGGAAGGAATTCTTCTTCTTCTTCAGATGCAAATCCACTAATGGATGTTAGCGATCACATTTTCCATTAACTCTCTATTTCTTGCAATATGTATCAGAGATTGTATGTCGTTAATCCCTGTCCATTGCCTTATGTTTCGGAGCCAGGACATTTTCTTGCGTCCCATTCCTCTCTTGCCTTCAATTTTACCCTCGATTATAAGTTGGAGGAACTGGTATTTTTCATTTCACATGATGTGACCTAGATACGCCGTTTTCCTTTTCTTGATGGTTTCGAAAAGTTGGCGTTCTTGGTTTATTCTTTTAAGGACATCTATATTTGTGATTTTCGCTGTCCATGGTATTTTTAGGATACGGCGATAAAGCCACATTTCGAAAGCTTCCAATCTGTTTATATCCCTCGTTTTAAGTGTCCAGCCCTCTACGCCATATAGCAGCACTGACCATACGTAGCACTTAGTAAACCTTAGTCTCAGTTGAAGATCGAACTCAGAACAAGTCGAACTCGAAGGAATTCAGGTAGATACAAATTCAAACACAGAAAGGCCAGCGAGTGTCTCTGTTTATTTCCAGATAGCTACAAAGTGCCATATACTTTGATGGCCATAAACGAATACAATTTAATAAAATCGTTTTGTGTCTTGACCTATTTGAAAGTTGCTTTGCTATCGCTATGAATTAAAAAGCCATATATGTATATGCAAGTGCACAATTTTCTGTGTATGAATCAGTATCAATAGGAGGATGTAGT